GGGGGGGGGCAGCCACTACATCTCTTTGGGCTTAGCTCTAGAAAATTCCAAACACTTCTCTGTGCAGGGTGCTTCCAGACAGCCCACACCAATACCATAAGTAAAGGCCTCCCCCACCCCCCGCGTAGTCTTTTAGGGCTAAATTAGGTGAAAGGACCTACACAGCTATAAACACAAGAGGCACTCGGGCCAGTGCCAACTGATGCCATAGAGCTGGGCCAGGGAATTATCATGAGTCTCAGGATATCGCAACAGAAGGGTTCCCCTCCCCCTGAATTTTGCAGTAAAGGCTTCCCTTGCTCGAAGGCCGGTCGAATCTGACTCTAGGGGGCGGTGCTCATCTCCGTTTTTAAGCCGAAGAGCCAGCGCTGTCTGAAGACGTCTCCGTGGTCACGTGGCCTGCATGACTAAACGCCGAGGCGCACGAAATGCTGTTCCCTTCCCAACGCAGTGGTACCCATTTACCTACTTGCAGTTTCTTGCTTTCGAAGTGCTAGGTTGGCAGGAGCTGGGACCAGAGATGGGAAGCTCACTCCGTCACACGGCACTTGGGTCTCGATGTCTAGTTTGGCTCTTCTAAAATTTCTTAACTTTTAAAAAATGCTCTGTGACCTTACCGGCAAGGGGGGTTAGCTGCTCTTAAATCCCAAGGAAATCATGGGACAAGTTAGTTGCAGTTAACCTAAAAGCAGTGAACGAGGCGCCTCACCAAAGATGCCGGAGTAAAACTTAGCAGCCCTGGGATAAGAGGGCAGGCTCTCTCACGGATCAAAAACTGCCTCAATAATGACAGGAAGCAGAGAGTAGGAATCAACGGACAGTTCTTACAGTGGAGGGAAGCAAGCAGTTGGGGTCTCACAAGGATGGGTATTGGGGCCGGTACTGTTTGATTTACTCCTAAGTGATCTGGAACTACGGGCGTGCCGTGTAGTGGCCAAGTTTGCAGATGACATAAAATGACTCAGGATGGTGAAAACCAAGGCTGACTGTGAAGAATTCCAAGAGGACCTCCACAAACTGCTGCTAGGTGTAAGGTGATGCACACAGGGACAAAAAATCCCAACTTCAAGTACAGGCTAACGGGGTCTGAACTTCCTGAGACTGAGAGGGGAAAAGATCTTGGGAGTGTGGTGGACAGCTCACTGAAAGTGTCAACCCCAGTGTGTGCCACAGCACTGAAAAGGGGAAACTCTTATGTTAGGGACTAAACATAAAATGGTTGATATGACAATGCCCTTGTACAGACCAATGGTGCGGCCTCAATTGGAATCCTGTGTACAGTTCTGGTCACCGTATCTCAAAAGACATTGCAGAGCTGGGAAAAGTACAGAGGAGGGGGACTGACTGCAGCACCTTCCCTGTGAGGAGAGTCTGGGACTTCTCAGTTTAGAAAAGAGATGACTGAGGGGACATGAGGGGAAATAAATGACAGAGGTTTATAAAATTACGCATCAGGTGCAGAGAGTTGACCAAGAGAAATTTTTCTCCCTCTCCCAAAATACTATAACTTGAGGGCATCCAATGAAGCTGAGGGGCAGGAGGTTCAGGACGGACAAAATGCAATACTTTACACAGATTGTGACTAAAATGTGGAATTCGCTGCCAGAGGATGTAGTGATGGCCACAGGAATAAACAGCTTTAAAAGGGTATTAGAGCCATTCACAGAGGATTATCAGTGGCTATTAGCCGTGGTGACTGAGGCGAACCTCCACATTCAGAGGCACTAAACCTCCGAATCCCAGTGCCATGAGGCAACGTGAGTGGAAGGTATCGGCTTCTATGTATCGTCGTTGGCACTCCAGAGGAACTGGTTGGCCACTTTTATAGGGAGGATGCTGGACTAGATGGATTATTGGTCTGATCCAGCAGTGCTCTTACGTTCTTACGGTTCTCCCAGCTCTTTTTCTCAAGGAATGGACTCTTTTTTTCTGCTGAGACCATAGCAAAATAACTGAAATACGGAAATAGTTTCTTTCCTGACAAAAATAAATGCATTACAAAACATGATCAGAGAAACAAAGGTGATCAGAGTTAGAACAAGGAATAAAAAGTCAACTGGTGTAGGGACCCAAGAAGGAAAGACAGAGGGAAAAGTCACATGGCCAGATTTCATCTTGCGGCATTCCCCCTGCCGGACTCCACAGCTGAGCCAAACCGATCTCCTCTTCACACAAGGAGAAAAACTTCAGGAAGCCCGATCCTCAAGGCCCCCCCCCCCAACCACTATACAAAAGTGCAGCTTCTGTGCTAACAACAGAACTCAGGCTAAATTCCTAATGACCCCAAAAGAAATTCTCCACGCTGGAGTTTTTATTGCATTTTAACAGTTCACAAAAGGCACAAGAAAACAGGCTTGTTCTGCGGAGACTCTCTTCAGGGCTATGGATTTGGTGCCGACGATGTGAAGGCTTGTGAAGACGCCGATGCTTTATTCCGAGGGAAGTAGTAGCTAAAAAAGAAGGTTAAGGCCATAAAGCCTTCCAGGCTGAGGGGCAGAGGGAGAGAAAATTCTGGAAGTCCTGAGAGGACGCTGCTTTGAGTCCTTCAGTCCCATTTTTGGCAACAAAACAAAGTAGGATAACTGCAGTGGGCCGGCTGGATTTTCTATCCTGGACAGGCTGTGGCCCTCACCAAGGCCAAGTCTGAAGTTCTGCTGTAAAACCAAATCACTCACTCACAACTTTAATGCCAGTAGCTCACAGAGTAGAATTTTTGCTCATGAGACTCCACAGCTTAGAGGGATTTTAATGAGCAGCAATCTCAGCGTTTTAAAGCCAGAAAAGGCCTTTATTCAGTCTGCCAAAGGCAGCCAATGATAATGAAGAACAAGAAGAGACTGGATTTATACCCCGTCCTTCACTTGGGAGTCTCAGAGCGGCTTACAAACTCCTTTCACTTCCCCTCCCCACAACAGGCACCCTGTGAGGTAGGTGGGGCTGAGAGAGCTCTTTCCAGAACTGCCCTTGAGAGAACAGCTCTGACAGAACTTGTGACTGACCCAAGGTCATCCAGCAGCTGCATGTGGAGGACTGGGGAATCAAACCCAGTTCTCCCAGATTAGAGTCCACGCACTTAACCATTACACCAACCCCCAAATTAGGGCTGACCGAAACAGCTTGCTCTTGGGACGGTTACAAAACCCCCCTCCCAATTCAGAAGGATACACAAAGGTGGGGATTCTTCTTCTGGCCAAGTGTTTTCGAATGAGACGCTCCGTTCCATACCAATTGAAGCCTTTGGTGGCATAGCCAATGCGGGGAAGGTGGACGCTTGCTGGCAGAAAGAGAAGAAAACGCTTTCAAAGTTGGGGTGAACCATGATACTCTTCAAAATGAACGATTTCCTAATTATCAAAGTGAACCACAGAGTTCCCTGGAAAGTTATACGGATAGTAACTGGGAGCAGGGTTAGGCACAAACTGGCTAATGAACTGAAGTTGGCCACTGATTTTGGCCAGTTTGTAAAACAATGTTCGCGAACGAGGGAGTACGCATTCGGATCTACGCAAAATGAAAATGTATCCGAAAAAGACCTTATTGGTATTTTTCAGGTATATTTCGTCTTCCCAAATGTATCTGGGTTTTCTTGGGGAAAAAATCCCGAGAAGATCTCAGATATATTCAAGAATTTTGGGTAGGTCTGAAAACGGCAATCTGCTCCTGCCTCTCAGCTGTTTGTTGTGCGGGTTTATGCAGTCCCTTTAAACTTTAAAGGGACTTTAAAGGGACTGCAGAAGTCAGCCCGAGGATCAGCCGGGGAGGCAGGGAGCGCCTCAGCTGTGGCTGGCTTCTCTTGTAGCCTGGTTTAAACCAGGCTGCAAGAGAAACCAGCCCAAGATCAGCTGGGTCAGTGGGGAGTTGAGAGCTCTCAGCTGGTGCAGCTCTGCGCTGCCTTCTCCTGCCCAGGGGCGCCTCTTTAAACAGCTGATCCGTGGGAGCAGGCTGCCCATGCCGCTAAGCTGTTTCGGGCACGAACCTGGTTCGGTTTCCATGCCACCTTACTGGGTTTGCAGTTCAGTTTGTGGTTCGCCCACGAACTAGATTTTTGTGATTCGTGCCCGTCCCTAATTGGGAGCTTGGGAAGGAGCTCAATCCAGTCCCCGGCATTAAAAGAGCCCCTCCCCCGTATATGTAATCTATGAGGCAAGCAAGAAGCTCTTCTGAAGTGCCCTGCCGCAGCAGAACCATGGGCCCAGTTCTGCCCCTCAGCAGGTCCCCAGACTGGGGGCAGGGGGGCGATCCAATAAAGAAGAGGCATCTTCAAGCTTCACCACTGACCATGGAGAGGAGGGACAGGAGAATTTGCTACAGCAGGGGTCCCCTGCCCTTTCCTAGACTGCAGGCCCCTTTGGGATTCTGAAAGAGTGGTGGGTACGGTCACAAAATGGCTGCCCTGGGAGGTGCCGCCAATCATCAAACGGCTGCTGCAGGAAGTGAAGCCACACAGAGAGGAAGCCCAAATGTAGGGGAGGAGTAATTTTTTTTTAAAAACTGCACTGAGAAAGAGAGAATATGTGAGAGAATAAAGCCAATACTGGTGGAGCTGTGGAGGAAACATTTTTATCCGTGCAGCCAATCAGATCGTCAGTGACCAATCAGAAGCCATGATGGGCGAGAGCCGCACATGGCCCCATCCAGTTTGTAAAAACACTCAGTGAGCCCCAGGAAAGGTTGGTGCCAGGCTGAACATCCCTGTGCTCTTGGCTCCTGTAAGGAGTGACCCAGCGTGGGGAGAAGCCCTTGTTGCTGGCACTATAAGCCTCTTTACTAAGGCTGTGGTCACATGGGCAGTTTGGCCCGACACAGCCACCCCTCCCCTCCAGATCAAATGAATTTTGCGCGCACATGAATTTTGAATTTTTTCTGGCAGCGCGCTCCGTGGCTGAGGCGCTGAAATAATGTGGATGCTTTACCACGGGATGTCTCCATGGGTAATGAGCAGCAGGGTGTGCTGTGTGGCTGATATGCCCTACAACACTTTACACCAGTTCAATTAGAGGCAGCACCATATTGCGCTAAGCCGCCAGTGTGACCATAACCTAAGTCAATACATGACTGGAGAAGGTTGCCACATTGTGATCTTTCTCACAAAGAACTTTGGGAATTGTCGCTTCCGTGAGACACCTAACCCTCACTGCTGCCTCCTCCCAAGAAGTCCGTCTCCGGCCTCCCTTACTCAAGCCACAAAACTCAAACCGACGGGCAAAATCAAAGCCCACGAGGCTTCCAGCGGTCCCCAGGGCAAACACACTTACCACCCCTTTCCTTGGCTGCCCGGTACAGCTTCTTTAATCCTGTTTCCAAAGCAGAGAGCTTAATCCCGGACAAATTGTTGGAACGGTCCCGGTGTTGGGCTACGACAAGAGCCAGCTAAGACAAGACAGACAAATGAGACTGCCAATCAAACAGCTAGAAAAATCACTGCGTGGATTATGGAGAAGAAATGCTTCCCGCCTCCCTTAATGGGTAGTTGTTACAGTGCTTCAGGACCAAGACTGAAAACAGCTCCGTTTTTGCTCCCCATTTTCTAGACGCTTATGGCTGCTTGAAAACGCAAATCATTTCCTAATGTGGAGGCTCTGCTTCCAAGGCAGCCCTGGTGTCCCTGGAAGGCTGTCTGAACTCACCCCCCTGGGGGCTCAGATAAGGAGACGGAGATTGTTAACAGGGCCCAGGGCCTCTTCCCGCCTTCACGGCTCACGCGGCCACAGCAAGAGCCCTCCACGAGGCCTTTCCGAGCAAGCATGGCAACCTGTGCTCCTTCCCCAGGTCTTGCCGAGCACTTACAAGAGGGCCTGTGCTTTGGAGAGAATGGCAGGCCTTCGCAGGTCCTGGAGCAACCGAGGAGGAGGAGATTGGATTTATACCCCGCCCTTCACTACCCAAGGGAGTCTCAGAGTGGCTTACAAACTCCTTTCCCTTCCCCTCCCCACAACAGACACCCTGTGAGGTAGGTGGGGCTGAGAGAACAGGTCTGGGAGAAACTGTCCTTTCAAGGACAGCTCTGACACAACTATGGCTTGCCCAAGGTCATCCAGCAGGTGCAAGTGGAGGAGTGGGGAATCAAACCCGGTTCTCTCAGATTAGAGTCCGCGCACTTAACCACAACACTAAACCTAGGAAAGGAGGACTGCGATTTCCTAGGCACTTTAAAGCTTAAATCAGAGATCAAAGGGCTGTGCACACCCCAGAGTCTTCTGACGCTTCGCAAGATTCTAAATGAGATCCTGAGTTAGCCCTGCAGCTGAGTTACACAGTTTGCTCCAGGTACAACTGTGTTTTCATTTTGTTCTGATGAGGAGGGCTCATGGTTCACATGTCGCACTGCTTCAGTCTGGTGATGGAAACAGAGACAGCCAGAGAGGCTCTGGGCATACTTACCAAGTCCTGGCCTTTGTTTCTCGACTCTTTGTCATCCACAGGGAATAAAAGTGTTCCTCCCAACGTCAAGTCTGCAGGAAATAATCAACGAGAGCAGAAAGAAAAACACTTCAGCACGTGCATAATCGGGTGAATTCTTGGAATTTCTACACTGTCTCTGGCCCTTCTGTCCTCTGTCATGTTTAGCATAGCGCTGATCTCCTGCTGAGAGGGAAAAGAGGAAAAACTAACAGGCAAGTCAATGGACGACATGCAAAGAAGAGAAGAATTTGGTGACGTGTTTGGAGCCCTGTACAGTCCAGGACCAACCTAACAGAAGGGCTGCCCATCCCCTTATTTATCAAATTTATATCCCGCTCCCTCTCCACCGGACGGGACTCAGGGCGGCTAACAGCATTTAAAAAGCACCAAATGTGGCCATCCTCAGAGGCCCTGGTTTGGGTGCCCCCGCCCTCTGAGATTAGGCAGGTGGCAACGTGGGCCTTCTCAGTCATGGCTGAGATTAGGCAGGTGGCAACGTGGGCCTTTTCAGTCATGGCACCAGTTTACAATCTCCTTCCCCTTCCCACAACAGACATTCCGTGAGGTAGGTGGAGCTGAGAGAGCTCTTTCCGGAACTGTCTTTGAGAGAACAGCTCTGACAGAACTTGTGATTGACCCAAGGTCACACCAGAAGAGAAGAAGAAGAGATTAGACTTATACCCCGCCCTTCACTACCCAAAGGTCTCAGAGCGGCTTACAAACTCCTTCCCCTTCCCCTCCCCACAACAGACACCCAGTGAGGTGGGTGGGGCTGAGAAAGCGCTGATAGAAACTGCTCTTTTTCAAGAACAGCTCTTATCAGAACTATGGCTTGCCCAAGGTCATCCAGCCAGCTGCAAGTGAAGGAGTGGGGAATCAAACCCGGTTCTCCCAGATTAGAGTCCGCGCACTTAAACACTACACCAAATTTACCAATTTTCTACTTGAGACTCAGGGTGGGTTATGTGGTATAGAACATTATAATCAAACAGAATGAGAGATCTAATAAACAATGCGATATTTAATGCTGACTGGCACTATTTTAGGATCGCAGCTTCTCTTCAGGGATACCCCAACCGTGGCTAATCTGGGAGACAGCAAGTCTTGCTTTCTGTCAAACCCCCTCAGAACAACAGAACTGCTCTGCCCCACTCGACTTACCGTCCATCTTCCCGGCAAGCTCGTACACTTTCCTTGGCTGGTCAGAACGATTCTCCAAAGCCGTGAATAAGCCCCCTCTTCCCCAACGCCCAGAGTCGTCTGGAAGAAAAGATACAGTGACAATATTCTTCTTATTTCAGCAGGGAAGGGGCAGCTATCAAGGGACAGGGTTTCGCAGAGACCAGCTGCTAAGCGTGTAGAGAAGACACCCTCTTTAGAATTCCCACATGGTCTTCACTTCAGGGCTGTCTTGGCAGGTTCAAGAGCGGTGGCGGCAGTGTGGGACCACCCTTATGAAGTAAGTGGGGAAGAGGCAGAAGTCTTCCCAAACTTCAGTGAACGTGTCAGACTGGGAGGACAGAGGAGTGGCTACCCCCCCCTTACGGAGACGAAGGGACGGAGGTCCTGTACCTGGGTCGGGTGTGTGTGGCTGTGGATATCAGACTCCCCACACTGGAAGGGGCGCCTCTGCTGCCGACCCAGGAAGTGAGGCGCTTGGGAGTAACACTGGATGCCTCTCTTTCTATGGAGGCCCAGGTTACGGCAGTTGCCGGATCTGCATTTTCCCATCTTGGGCAGATAAGGCTGCTGAAACCGTATTTCTCCCCCCAGGACTTCGCTACAGTGATCCATGCAATGGTTACTTCCAGGCTTGATTACTGCAACTCGCTCTATGTAGGCTCACCCTTGAGGCTGACCTGGAAATTACAGCTGGTGCAAAATGCGGTGGCGCGCCCACTGACATCGACGCCTATGCGGGCTCACATCCGGCAGGTGCTTCGCCAACTGCATTGGTTGCCAGATGGCTTCCGGATTCACTTCAAGGTGCTGGTGATCACCTTTAAAGCCTCATACGGCCTGGGACCCACATATCTGAGGGACGGCCTCTCCCCATTTTTGGCCCAAAGAGCGTTACACTCTATAGACCAACATCTCCTGGTTGTCCCTGGCCCAAAGGACGTCCGCTTAGCCTCAACCAGGGCCAGGGCCTTTTCTGCCCTGGACCCCGCCTGGTGGAACGTGCTCCCAGTCGAGATCAGGGCCCTGCGGGATCTTCTCCAATTCCGCAGGGCCCGTAAGACGGAGCTGTTCCGCCAGGCCTTCGGATGAGGCACTGGACGTCTCCATATGGCCTCCCTGCGGTGGTTGTCACCCATAAACTTATCAACCCAAATAATATGCCAGGGAACCCGCGGCTGGCTGACTTGTTAGAAGTGTGACTGTGTTTTAAAGTTTATTAATTTTAAATTGTTTACATTGTTTCATTCTAATTGTATTAATTGTATGTTTTATGGTGTTACCTGCCCTGAGCCCACTCGCGGGATGCGCGGGCTGTAAACACAAATAATAAATAAAATAAAATAAAAATTACAGGAAGAGGGGGCTGCTGAATTCTCCGGCGCACCGCCTGGCTCAGGCGCTTCCTCCTCTCCTTCCTTGGCCCCACAGGCCGCTTCCTCCTCAGCTTCCCTCTTCAGCACTCACCGGATTGCTCTCCCATCCCCGATGGCAACCAAGAGGTTTGGCGCTCGCCCTCCGAACGCAAGCAGGAAGCCAATTCTCACCCAGGCTTTGAGGTAACGGCTTATTTTCCAATGGGCTTGGACTAAGTCACTGTAGTTGGCAGACCGCACTAGAATGAGGGAGATCTGGGCCCTCAGCTTAACCCACTTCACAGGGTGGTTGTGAGGAAAAAGTAGGAAGGGGGCCAGGGAAGAACCGTGAGCAGCTCCATGACTCCTGGAAATCTAGATCTAAATGGGTTTTGCTCTTAACACCCCATCAAGAAAGAACAGGGCGGAAAAAGAGTTAACGTTTAACACTGTACAGTGCTTCACACCCTTTATCCTTTGGTCACCCCTGACCCTGACGGGTTATTATTATTATTAATTTTGTAGAAAAAGAGATGCAGGAGCTCATCTGCATTACTGATTATTACAGGGCTTTTTTTGTAGAAAAAGCCCAGCAGGAACTCATTAGCATAATAGGCCACACCCAACAGCAGA